TTATTTATAAACAAACTATATAATGCTCGGACACCCTCGGTCTCTCTTGCGCAACTGTTGAGCGCGCTCTCGGACACATTCGGTCTCTCTCGCGCATTGAGCGCGCTCGCGTCAATCACTTCGCTTTTGTCCACTCCGGCGCCTCATAAACACACACACACACACACACACACCAGAGAAAAAAACTTTGCAGGTCCTATGGCGAGAGCCTACTCGGATGAAAGCCGCTTCAGTGAGTTCAATTATAGTAACGCCACATTTCTTTTGTCAGTAACGGTAACTGCGTTGTAACGGGGGAAACAGTAATTCGTTTGATTACACGTTACTGAAAAAGATAACGCCGTTAGTAACGCCGTTTATTTATAACGCCGTTATTCCCATCACTGAGCGGTAGTAAGATACTTCCTAAACATGATGTGTTTTATAATCCAGCTGGTGGGCTTTGGCATGTTTGCATGGCTTGTCTTAGATCATTTGCGTTTGAATACCGCGGGCTCTCCTTGGGCGTGGCACATTAACACGTAATGAGGTATAATAAGCTGGAAAGAAAAATACTGACATCTCTCTCTTTTCATACAGATTACACAAACTGAGAATATTTGTTTTTTATATAAATTATTTCGTTTAAAAGAAGAGAGTTCAAGCTTCATTATGGAAAAACACTCGTGCTTGTATGACAAGTATTCGCGAATTACAGTTAATTTTCGGACGCGTTTCAGAATGGATTTCACTGACAGAACACAGCAAAATCACCAGTGTTAAATTAACACTGCTCAGTGTTTATATGAGTCCTCAGAGAGTATTCAATGAACACTGAAGCAGTGCTAAAGTTACTGAGATAATTAAGTAATTAATTGAGTGATAATTGAGCATTATCGACGACACCTGATGTTAACAAGCAGAATCACTGAAGGAGAAAATCGTAATTGGTATGTTACCATTAGAGATCAGTGTTTGCTTTAGTTGAGCTCTTGACCCTTACATCATTAACTTTAGTTCTTTGTTTGGCTGCTGTATTTTGAATATTTTGAAATATTTTGAACTGCTTGATGGACATCATCTGATCTGAGTTTCTCTTGATTTCCTACAATAACAAATATGCATCAAAGACATGCACAGTTAAGAGAAAAACTATTATTAATATATGAAGGGTCAAGAGCCCAACTAAAGCAAACACTGACCTCTATCATGGTGACATCAAACTTTATTATTTTCAATAAAATATCAACTTCTAAACCTCTGTTATTTCTCAATAAGAATGTTAGTATGAAAGAAGTCTGGATTGTAATAAGTGAAGATGCTGAGATCTTGAGAGATCTGTTAGTGTTTAATGTTCTGCTGGGATGTAAAGTGTTTCTGTATGGTGTGTTTTGTGTGTCACCATTGTGTTGAAGAGTAGAGCCTGAGCTTCAGTCCAGGATGAGCAGAGAAACACTGATGAAATGTTGTGTGTTGCTTTATTTAACAGACAGTAACTGTGTAGTTGCTGATGACATATAATCAGTAAATCATGCGTGTAGTTTATAGCAAGATATTTACTTTTTACAGTGAATATTTTTTTGAGTAAAAATTCAGTAAATATATATATTTGTGAAAGAACAGTGTTTCTGTTCAAAAGCTTAATGAAGATTTCTGCAATAGTATTTATTATTTAAATTAGGATATTTTACATTCATTTTATGGTTTTTGTATGGCAGCCATTGCTGACAGTCATTTTACCTTTTTTTCACAGCGAAGGTGTTTGATCATAATAATTCAGGAAATAACTGTAAAATAACAGTGTTTTTCTGTAAAACATTTAAGGATAAAGTTTGGAAAAGTTTTTTGCACTCAATTTAAATTAGGATATTTTACTTTATTTTTACGGTTTTTGTTCGGCAGCCGTAGCTGCCAGTCATTGACCGTTTTTTTACGATTTTATTTTTTACAGTGTATCAGGTAAAGTTATGTTTAATTTTAATTTAAGTTAAAAAGGCTACAGCTGTGTAGCGCACAGAAGCCGTTGCCATGGTTACTATCCATAGAGCGCCTGTCATTCACTCGCGGAGCGCTGTCTCCCTTTCTGTTCACCTGAGAGAACCTGCCAAAGCCTCTCCACTGCTTGTTTGGGTGGGTTATTTGCTAGCTGACCAACATCCCACCCCTCCTGTGATCATGGTTTGACTGTAGGCCTATGTGTATTCAGAGCCAGTGAGCAACGGACTTTCAAAATAATAATAATAATAAAAAAAACTGCGTTAACGCGCGATAAAAAAATTGTCGGCATTAATTAATAAATGCGCTAACGCGATAATAACGCGTTAACTTGCCCAGCACTAAATATGACCAAAGAGCACAATTGAGCGGACACAACTTTTTCTAGTATTTTAGACATAAATGGAAGATTTGAAATGGGTCTGTAATTTGCTAAGTTATTTGGATCTAATTGTGGTTTCTTAATAAGAGGTTTTATTACTGCCAGCTTGAATATTTTTGGAACATGACCTAAAAATAAAGACGAGTTAATAATATTGAGAAGAGGCTCTTCCACTACAGGTATCACTTCTTTCAGTAGTTTAGTGGGTATTGGATCTAATGAACATGTTGTTGGTTTAGATGCAATGATAAGTTTATTTAGCTCTTCCTGTCCTACAGTTGTAAAGCGGTGTAGTTGTTCTTGAGGGGCGATAGTTGAGGCTGAATCATAAGACACCATAGAGGATTGTACATTTACAGTTGTGTTTCTGATGCTTTCTATTTTCTCATTGAAGTAATTCATAAAATCATTACAACTATACTGGAACGGAATATATTGCTCTGGCGATGTCTGTTTATTTGTTAGTCTAGCCACGGTGTTAAATAAAAACCTTGGGTTATTTTGGTTATTTTCTATTAGTTTGCGGAGGTGCTCAGCCCTGGCTGCTTTTAGAGCCTTTTTATAACGTGACATACTGTCTTTCCACGCGATTCTAAAGACCTCTAATTTAGTTTGTTTCCATTTACGCTCTAAGTTACGAGTTTCTCTCTTGATAACATGTGTAGTACTATTGTACCACCAATATTTGTGATTAAATCTGAGAGATGGATCACTCCTCCATAGGCTTCAAAGGGATTGAAACTTGCCGACCCAGAAAAGTTATTAAAGACATCGTTAAAATAGTCCAAGTGACTACAGTGGCTCAATCTTAAGTTTATCAAGCGACGAGAATACTTTTTGAGCACAAAATTCTTTATTTCAACTATTCATTTCCTTCTCTGTGGGCCTCGAGTGAGTTCACATGTAATAGCGTTGTGCTTCTGTGTTGTACGTTACTGGCCGATGCTGATCATGCGTGTGATGAGTGTGACGTACAACACAGACGCGTTGCGCGTTGTCGCTTCATAAACTTATGACAGGTTATAACTCAGAAAGGAAATAAGCTAGGAAGAACATTTTTCTGTAAAGTTCCCCTTACATGTGAGCTGCATCTGGATCAAATTTTGTGGTGACTCTAGTAAATATTATAGTGTTTTTGAACCATAACCAAAAACACTATAATATTTACTAGAGTAATTTTACTGTGTGTGTGTGTGTGTGTGTGTGAGAGAGAGAGAGAGAGAGAGAGAGAGAGAGAGAGAGAGAGAGAGAGAGAGAGAGAGAGAGAGAGAGAGAGAGATAGAGAGAGAGAGAGTGTGTGTGTGAGAGTGAGAGTGTGAGAGAGAATAAAGGTTAAAGCTGTGTGTGTGTGTGAGGTTAAAGGTTAAAGCGAGAACATCTACGGGACAAAGTGTAGTACGTTGTGGACCCGCCTATAGGCTCACATCACTAAGGCCATGTCCACACTAATACGTTTTCGTTTGAAAACGTATACTTTTCTCTCCGTTTTGGCCTTCCGTCCACACTGAGACGGCGTTTTAAGTCAACGAAAACGTAGCGTTTGGAAAACGCTCTCCAAAGTGGATAGATTTGAAAACGCAGTTTTCGCGTTGTAGTGTGGACTGTGAAGCCGGAGGTATTTGAAAACGATGACGTAAGTTTAGTCATGTGATCCATGTTGTACCAATAGATATTCATGTTTACCGGTATTGTGCCTGTTAATTATGTGCGATTCACTTTTACACTGTTGCTAAAATATGTTACTTTGCACACTCTTCATATCACAGTAGCCTACTGCAAAGATGACAGAAAATGTACTCACATTTGCTGTCTTGCGGCAAAACATGAGAGCGGTTTCGTTTTAGACCAAACATATGGTGACTGAGTGCGACCTGGACGCATCAGTGAATGGTGAGATATTTTGCTAAATAAAATGATCATGTTAGAAGAATTGCGCGATACCTTTATTATTTATTTTTCCAACTGTATCATCTCAGTGAGCTTTTATGAGGTTTCACGCATGCGCAGTAAGGTGAATTTATAAGTTTCTCATCCACACTGAAACATCTGAAAACGCCTGAAAACGCTAGTGTGGACGGAGAGCGTTTTTAAACGAAAACTCCGTTTTCAAATGTATCCGGATTAATGTAGACGTAGCCTAACACGCTCTTTAAAAAACAAAACAAAAACAAATACTGTGCCATTGACTTCAGTCAGACCAGGTTTCAGTTGATCAATGGCTCAGTCTATTTCAGTTCCTCAAAATAGCAACACTCCAACAATGCGCCTGAACACACACCTGGTTCTCAGACCAGCCAGCATGGGTGAACAGATGAGCAACAAATGCATTTGCTATTTAAAAAACGTGGCGCAGGACGTGAAAATTAAAACTGCGTTCTGCTTAAACTAAAACACACTTGCGTCGCGCCTGTCTAAATCAATTATTACTGGTGATAAGATACCATACTGTTTTTTCTGTTATAATGGTATACTGCCCACCCTTATTTAATTTATTTATTCACCTAATGTTACTTACATAGCCAACATCAAGTCCATTGTGATGCTAATGTTACTCATAATGTGTCTCTCTCTCTCTCTCTCTCTCTCTCTCTCTCTCTCTCTCTCTCTCTCTCTCTCTCTCTCTCTCTCTCTCTCTCTATTACAGATCGAGATAAAAAGGAGACCTCTACTGTATGTCGTAAACATTATAGTACCGGTATTTTTCTTCCTCATGCTGGATCTGGCCTCCTTCTTCATTGTCGGAGAAGACAAGCTGAGCTTTAAAGTGTCTTTACTGCTGTCTATTTCTGTGATGCTGCTGATTCTTAGTAACACACTGCCCTCTATGTCTCAAAAAATGCCTCTGATAGGTGAGTCTAACTTTGACCAGATTATTTAATATCATATCGCTTATGTTTTGAAACACAAATTAACCTCCTGAGACCCGAGAGTTTGCCTGGTGTGCATTTTATAATTTTTCTTGGTATTTGGTATAAGTAGGGCCTAATAAGTATAATAACTAAAATTTGTTTTTGTGATGGAAGTAGGTTTTGCATAAAATTATGTCCTCATGCAAGGACAGTGGGTCTATCTTAACTTTATCCTCCTGAGACCTGAGTTTTGGTTTGGCGTGCATTTTAGATTTATTCTAGCTTTTTGGGGTTTATGGCAAGCCGTTTTAACTTTTATTCATTTTCAGGATATGAATTCTTGATATCAACAATTCAATTTCACTAGTTAAAATAATAGTAATTGATATCAGGAATTAGATTTCTACTAGTAACAATGGCAATTTTTGATATCAGAAATTACACAGCAAAATCCCCAGTGTTAAATGAACACTGCCCAGTGTTTATATGAGTCCACACTAATGAACACTAAAGAGTGTTAAAGTTAATGAGATAATTAAGTGATTAATTGAGTGATGATTGAGCATTTTTGAAGACACCTGATGTTAACAAGCAGAATCACCAAAAGAGAAAAGCTATTTTTTAACACTTTAAAACTAGCTCTTGAGTCTTGGATTCAAATAAACTCCCAGGAGAGTTAATTTAACTTAACTTTTTGCTGTGTGTTTTAATGCTTTCACAGGGATTTTCTGCCTTGCGGTTTTCTGTCTCATTGGCATCAGCATCGTGGAGACCATCCTTGTGAATTATCTGAAGGCTAAAGGAGCTAAGAGGAGATCAGTGGAAACAACATCTACTGGTACTGGCCAAGATGGTAAGAGTCGACACAGCATCTGATTATGAGGAACATTTTCCTTTAGTTTATACTTTTACTTCACAAAATAAGGTTTATTTGTGAAATAAAGTTTTAGATTTATTTGCTTTGTCACTTTGGTACATATACAAAGAATAGCAAATAAAATTAATCCTTGGGTAAATTAGACTCCATGAAAAACAAGCGAACTTGTTCCAGTAACAGTTTGGATAATGGGTGGATGGAAGAAAATAGCACATGTAAAACCATGTAGTTCCATATGAAACAAGCCACCCCAAAACCACATGTGAAGTTAATTTGTTTTTCTATAATGGAGTATCAACAAAGATTCCACAACAAAAAGTCGTACACATATGAGATTATTCAGACAAAAGTGTTTATCCAGAGCCGTGCTTTGCTGTTTTCCTCTCACAGGTAGACCAGCAAGAGACCAGCTGAACCCTACAGCCTCAGCTGGAGTTCAGGATGAAACGCAGTCTGAGTATCGAGAAAAGACATTTCCGTCCTGGACCAGTGGGGCAATAATCATAGATAAGGCATTCTTGGTTCTTTACATAATCACTATTATTGTGTTACTGTCTGTGCTTGGGAAGCGTTGGACTCCATAGTATTGTCTTATACTTGAGATATCACACAATACTTACTTTTTATTCAGAATTTATATACAGTTTACAGATTTTAACACAAAAGAATACATTGGCAAAACACAAAGATGCAGACAGAAGACGCACTCAGTGATAGACTCACACACAGCAGAGAATTAGATACCGATTTTTTATAGAAAATGTTTGGACACTATAATGTTGATCAGTGTTTGTTTTAGTTGGGTAGTTTGATAACTTTTTAATCGAGTTTGTGATCTTTGTAACAGTCTTTATATAATTTTTTGCAAAAAAAAGACAGGAAGATAAATGATCTGGTGATATTGAGAATGAGAATGTGACGTCACGCGTCTCACTCCGCGTTGCATTGTGGGAAGGCGTCGCCATCTTGGCAGGATACGCTATCTGTTGTCATGGTTACTTCGACAGTGAGACCGAGAGAAATAGCGACAGAGAGAGAGAGCAGCTTGATATTTGTTTGCATTTTTGCGATAAGGCACCGTTTCTTGGGAATAAATGAAGAAGGGGGAAGCGAAAGGAAAGGGGCTCTATCGGGAGAGACTAAATAACAACACCAAGCAGCGTTATTTAGAGAAACTACTTGACATCAACAACATGGACCCGTACGACCTGCCACAGAATGGATGAAAGACCCAAAGCACTACCACCTTTCACATACCCTGACATAGTCAATTACCTGGTTTATGGTATCAGTGCCTAACGTTGCATGCACTCTTGCATACACAATGCAAGAGTTCAGAAGCTTTAAGTCATTAGAAGCTTATGAACAATTCTGCTGCGGCTGGGTGCAAGACAGAAACCCCCAAACCTGTAACGTTAAACTGCGAGAGTTCAGTCATGTTTCAGGCCTCATTCATATGTGGAAATAAATCTGATATGAATCAGATATCCGTGCATTTGCACCTGACGTGCAACGTTAAGCGGACATATCGGACATTCCCCTGTCAATGCGAGTCGTACGTCATTAAAAAAGTGTCTTTTTAAAACATTTCGCGGTACAGATATATCTATAACAAATTAAACAACTCTAGTTGAATAACAGAGTATTAATTTAATTCGTTTGTGTTAAATAAAAGGCGAACTGTGCTGAAATGTGTTGCTTTTGAAATCATGCTTTGCTGTTGCTGCTGTCAGTTTATTGACAAGTTTTTTCTCTAAATAAAGCTGGCTAGCATTGTTATTTAGTCTCTCCCGATATAACACCTTTCATTTCTCTTCCTTCTCCATATCTTCCAAAGAAACTGCGGCGTATCGCTAAAATGTAAACAAATAATGTTTAGTCGCGCCTCTGTGAAGTTCTGAAGGCGTTGCCCCTGGCAACCGATAGCGTCTCCTGCCATCATGGCCGACCGGCTCAGACCCCGCCCAAATCAACCCAAATCGGCACGTGACTCCTCACTCTCAATAGTTTCCAGAAGCATAAACAAAAATTCTTAACTAATCTCACCATTGTTGATATTCATACACTGAATCTTATTGTCTATGTGAGCCTAAAATAACTTTTTTATAATAACTTATGCTAATTATAGTGATGCTGTTAACAATAAAAGTAAGAAATCAGTGCATGGGAAAAAAATATTTTATTATTACAAGATGACTTTTAACAGCAGATCACCTATATTCTGAGTTATAAAAGTCAGATAAAGGTAAGCCATTTACAACTGCCAAACAATATTCTGAAGTTAAAAATGTCAGGGTCAACTGCACAACTAAAGCAAACACTGTTCTCCTTAATGGTGACTTAAAATTGTGATTTTTCTTCTTAAGTGATTCTGCTGGTTAAACATCAGGTGTCTTCAATAATGCTCAGTCATCACTCAATTATCTCATTAACTTTAACACTGAAGCAGTGTTATGCAATCCTGTGAAGCAATCCTGTGTAGAGGATATTCAAGTTATTGAATGGGTCAAGTTTCTGAGCGAATAGCGGGAATCTTTGTTATTGGTTTTCGGTAATCAACTTTATTTGACTTCGGCTAAACATGTTCCATTAGTTGAAATCGCCATTAATGAAAATTTGTTGTCAGGTTCTGGAACATTACCTTTAATTATGATTTGGCCTTAATGTTGGGAAGCACAATATTATGACAGTTAGACAATTCCAATCAATGGGTGTTAGACAAGGAAATACTGTGATACTTTTATTCTCATATATTTTTATTTTTATTCTTATAATTTGTAGTATTATGTTTCTTGTTGTATTTGTATTTGTATGTCCACTGGAAGCCTCAGTACCAAAACAAATTCAAGCACACTTGGCAATAAAGCTCTTTCTGATTCTGATTCTGATTCTGAAAATACTGGTGGCCACAAATAGCCATAGTTTATTTTAATTTTAAGAAACAGAAACACTGTAATAAACAGAAACATTTTTCTTTCCTTGTTTTGTTATAATGCTACATAACAAAACAAAAACAATACTATCAATAGTCAAACATAATTTACAGGACAGATACCAGCTCTTTCCATCTCTGCCCTTAGGAGATGTATCTCCATCTGCACTTTTTTCTGCTGCAGTTGGGTAAGCAAGATTTGTTCTTTACCCAGTTCGATTTGTATTTCTGATCTTTCGGTTTCCCGTTTCAGAAGCAACTCATAGCTGTCACCATCATGGTTTGTAGCTGAGGAACTTTTGCGTTTTCTTGAAGGAACGTCTTGGACTGTCTTCATTTATTTTCCTCCTCATTCACTGAAGTCAAGTCCAGGACAAACATTTCCTCTGCAGGAGAATTTTGCTCGCATTCTTCTGAAGTCCTAATCTCTGTAATTGTGGCCTCTCCATCTGCTTCTATGCCTTCAATGCCATGCAGAGCCTCTGATTTTTCTCCTCCTATGATATCAAGGACCATATCAGTGAAATCACCCCTCTTATATGGCTTGTTACCTGTTTGGGGGTTCTTGGCTTCCGTAAGGTCTTTCGTTGCCTTAGCCCTGATGTTCTTCCATCGCAACATAACCTATTTTATGGTCCTCTTTTGGCCAGACCCCATAGCATTGACATGATTGGTTATGTCCTCCCAAATGTTGTGTTTTCCTTTTTTGGTCAGTTCTCCACCCTTTGCAGAGCTGAAACCTCCTACTATCGAGGCAAAATTGTCCCGAACACCCTCCAGCATTGCACAGGTTTCTGCCACAGTGGAATTAGGCCCTTTTGATTCCATGGTTCCAACTCTGTGGTGTCGCCAACACTGATCTTAAAAGCCTTCAGCATGATTGCTTTGGCTTCTGCTCAATTAGGCTTACACCAAACAGCTCATTGCTGGTTAATGGGTGACACCATTTAAACACATCATGTCTTTGCACCCATTTCTCTTAACCTACAGAGGCATCCACATGGCAGATATTGTTCATCGTTACCATCAAGAAGGTACCGTCAAAGGGTGCACGCTGAGTGTGCCAAACCACTCGAGCAATACACATCAGAAGAACTGTATGCACGTTTTGCGCTTTGGGAGAGATGACATTAAGCACATTGCAGATGTTGTCAGGCCAACACTCCAACACCAAACCCAAAGGAGTCATGCTTTATCCGTGGAGGAACAGTGCTTAATCGCTCTGTGCTTTTACGCATGTGGGACTTTCGACCAAGTAATTGGTGACAATATGGGAGTGAGAAAAGCAACCGTGAGTAATGTGGTGAAGACTATGCCAGTAGCACTGGGCAGTCTGATCAATCAATTTGTTTCCTTTCCCAAGGATGGCCAGACAGTTCAGACTAAGCACAAGTTTTTTTCAAATGGGGAACATGCCTAGCACTATTGGTGCTATTGATTGTACTCATGTGCATATAAAAGCACCTAGTGACAGGGAGTGGGAGTGTGTCAATCAAAAGGGGAGACACAGCATCTACATCCAACTTGTGGGCAACGCCGACCTCATAATAACAACTGTGTTGTGAAATGGCCAGTGTCTGTTCATGATGCACGTATTCTAAGAGAGAGTGCACTATACAGAGAGCTTCAATCCTACCGACTAAAGCAATCACTGATCACCACAATGGTGACACTTCAAATGAAACAAATATCAACATCTAAACCTCTGTTAATTCTCACTAAGATCATCTGACAGCAATAGTCAAAGTAATTATATCTAAATGAGACCATAAATGATGTTAAAAAAATATGGCCACAATGGCCACATTTGAACAAGTTTGTAACCTTGTACGAAGGGTCCATGAACGTCTATATCGGACGTGCAGAACACGTCAAAAAAAGACGTCATAAAAACTTTCACTCTGGCTCCTCAGTGGACGTCTTTTCAACGTCCGACTTTTGTGACAAAGACTTTAAAAAGACGTCTTTTGGACATCATTTTGCTTAGTAAGAGACCCTCCATCACTCCACCTGCCCTTATGAGACCTTCCATCACTCCACCTACCCTTATGAGACCCTCCATCACTCCACCTGCCCTTATGAGTCCCTCCATCACTCCACCTGCCCTTATGAGTTTCTCCATCACTCCACCTACCCTTATGAGACCCTCCCTCACTCCACCTGCCCTTATGAGTCCCTCCATCACTCCACCTGCCCTTATGAGTTTCTCCATCACTCCACCTGCCCTTATGAGACCCTCCATCACTCCACCTGCCCTTATGAGACCCTCCATCACTCCACCTGCCCTTTGAGACCCTCCATCTCTCCACCGGCCCTTATGAGTTTCTCCATCTCTCCACCTGCCCTTATGAGTCCCTCCAATACTCCACCTGCCCTTATGAAACCCTCCATCTCCGGCCCTTATGAGTTTCTCCATCTCTCCACCTGCCCTTATGAGTCCCTCCATCACTCCACCTGCCCTTATGAAACCCTCCATCACTCCACCGGCCCTTATGAGTCCCTCCATCACTCCACCTCCCCTTATGAGACCCTCCATCACTCCACCGGCCCTTATGAGTTTCTCCATCTCTCCACCTGCCCTTATGAGTCCCTCCATCACTCCACGTGCCCTTATGAAACCCTCCATCACTCCACCTGCCCTTATGAGACCCTCCATCACTCCACCTACCCTTATGAAACCCTCCATCACTCCACCGGCCCTTATGAGTCCCTCCATCACTCCACCTACCCTTATGAGACCCTCCATCACTCCACCGGCCCTTATGAGTCCCTCCATCACTCCACCTGCCCTTATGAAACCCTCCATCACTCCACCTACCCTTATGAGTCCCTCCATCACTCCACCTACCCTTATGAGTCCCTCCATCACTCCACCTGCCCTTATGAAACCCTCCATCACTCCACCTACCCTTATGAGACCCTCCATCACTCCACCTACCCTTATGAGTCCCTCCATCACTCCACCTGCCCTTATGAAACCCTCCATCTCTCCACCGGCCCTTATGAGTTTCTCCATCTCTCCACCTGCCCTTATGAAACCCTCCATCACTCCACCGGCCCTTATGAGTCCCTCCATCTCTCCACCTACCCTTATGAGTCCCTCCATCACTCCACCTGCCCTTATGAAACCCTCCATCACTCCACCTGCCCTTATGAGTCCCTCCATCACTCCACCCGCCCTTATGAAACCCTCCATCACTCCACCTGCCCTTATGAGTCCCTCCATCACTCCACCTGCCCTTATGAGACCCTCCATCACTCCACCTGCCCTTATGAAACCCTCCATCACTCCACCTGCCCTTATGAGTCCCTCCATCACTCCACCTGCCCTTATGAGACCCTCCATCACTCCAGCTGCCCTTATGAGTCCCTCCATCACTCCACCTGCCCTTATGAGTCCCTCCATCACTCCACCTGCCCTTATGAAACCCTCCATCACTCCACCTGCCCTTATGAGTCCCTCCATCACTCCACCTACCCTTATGAAACCCTCCATCTCTCCACCGGCCCTTATTGCCTCAGATTGTGAAGCGCAGCAACAAGCTCCGGCACGAAGGCACGGTCACCTCTGGTGAAATCATCAGAGTAAAGCCGCAGAATGGGAACCGCTGTGTTGAGATGGCAGTAGGATCAGCGCCTGTAAATACATGATTCTAGTTTGAATAAAGCCTTGTTTCTTGTGTTGTTGACTTGTATATGCATTTGTTTATTATGATGGTTACTTTTATTTGTTCTTTTACTCATTTATTCATGTTTCTTATTGTTGTCAGTATATAAAATATAATTATTTAATTAATGTATGCATTCATTCATTCATTCATTGCTTGACTGACATCTAGTGTGTATTCATGCATAACTATGTCATAAGACAAACAAATTACATTTTGCTTGTTTTATTAAAGCGAAACTTACATTTTTCGAGTATAAAATCCACAGTTTTCTCCAAAGGAGATCTTCGAGCAGCGGCCCGTCTCCTTGAGCAGACATTACAAACGCAGAGGAAAACTGTTCTAGGTTGTGCTGTCGAGTTACCGATGTTATGAAGTGTTAGTGCACCTGTCGCTCATATAATTTAAACTTATTACATACAGATCATGGAAAGATACCATAGTTGTATGTAACAATGAACAATCATAATGACAATACAGAAAACATAAAGATCATTGGTTTGTGTACATCATATTAGGATATTTATAGGCTACACAGGAAAAAAGAACAACAAGGCTAAATATCTTTAAATAGTTTTTCATAATACATAAAAAATTCTGAGGGATCAAACAAGAAGTAAATAAAATATAACAACTTAAATCGACCCTAAATGTATTCACAAAACGATGGACAGCTGTTTCTTCAACAATAGTCTACCACAAAATGAGCAAGTTTCATCAATATCAAGATATTTACAGATGAATTCAATCATAGACAGTAAAAGAATGTGTCATTCATATCTTTTAAGTGTGATAACGTCGTAGGTCACATGATAACGTCAACATGGCAGATGATGTCCGGATCGCATTCATACTCAACGAGATTTGGCTATAAAGTACCTACTCTGTTAGCGCTCGTTAAGTACGTACTCATTGAAATTAAGTACCTACTCATTGAGTATGCGATCCCGAACGCAGCCAAAGAATAGAGTGCCGAAGTTACGACGTCACTCTGTAGGCCAAAACGCGGAAGTGAGTTAGCATTTTAGCACTCCCGGTTCCCTCGCTCTAAAGTCTATGGGATTTTTGAATGGGTTTTTGCTAAATCGCCTGAAATAAGGTCTGTGGTGAACAAAGCCTCTAAATATTTTCACGTTTTGGATCTATGACATAGAACACACAGTTATAACCTGCTTGTGGTTTTTTAAACTTTATTGTGTCTGCTTGTGTTTTTTAAAAACTTTATATAGGCTTCAAAATGTATAAATTTTGGATTAACTTGTAAAGATTACCTTGATAGACAAAACGTGTAAGGGTTCTGTGCCGTTTTTGACGCACGTTTATCGTAACAAAAATGGGTGTCGAAAACGTGTGTTTTGAGTAGGACAAAACACACGTTATGAATTTTTGCGATTTTCCAAAAGTCTATGGGGAAAATGCATAGCTTTTCGATCGAGGGAACCCATGCGCCGCTAGCTTCCGAGTTGTCCTACAAAATGACGTCATCACTTCGGCACTCAAATAAATAAGATGCTTGCGCTCGTTACTGTTAGACGTAATCACCTCTGAATTAGCGCTTGCAGAACCTGAGGTGTGATTGGTAGTCTACAGTTGAGATCTACAATATGATTGGTAGTCTACAGAAAGTGTAGACTCTCGGCCAATCAAAATGCCACACACTGACTAAACTAGACTGCCCTGCATCTGGTAAATAGAATGTCAGCCAATCAGAAAGCGATGTCGTTTTACGTAGCACTGTCAAGTATCACTTTTTGAGAATTTAAATACAGTTTCTTACTGATGAATACCCAGATAGCAGGCAGAAGTTGATTCAACGTTGATTTTTAGTTGTAAAGGTTAGTATCAGTCGTCGATCAAATTTCAACGTTGAATCAACGTTCACTTTTTGGTCGGTATATCAGAACGTTATTACGTCGAAAATAAAACATTGATTCAACGTTGAAATAAGGTTGACTCGTCAACATATAGCTGCATCGCACTTGGTCGAAATAATAACATCTAATATATTTTTTAAACTTGTTGGAGCTATCAGCGATCAACTGAGCTGCATGAGATCATGTTTTTTGAAAGAATCACTAAGTGTGTTACAATTGTGATCATTTTGGATTTTTGTAGAGATTTGAAAAAGTAGGCTACCAAAAGTGAATACAAAAACTGTAATATTCCCTGATATTCGTATGTGCGTGTGTGACTGTGCACGCATCTGCAATATGCTGGCAATGGATGATGGATCTTTTAAAGTCAATTCAGTAATGTGTCACTTTACTGTGGTGCAAATGCATAAAGGGGTACAACAAAGTGTGAATCGTGGCGTTGGCTATAAGCAATTGCCTAAGGCCCCGCATTTTGATCATTTAAACAATCAAATCTTAATGTCGACGCAGCAACATCATGCATTCCACAGCCCGATCTCATGAAAGTGCGTATCTATACAACGAATGTTATTTCTCATGCCATTTATACGCCAAAAATAGTTTTTGCGTGTATATGATACGCAGTTTTCCCGTGCATATGATATGCACTTTAAAGCCCCGTTCACACTACAAGCGACATGATACCATTAATTTCAATGGGGAGCGGGCGATTTACGTTGACACGCGCGACAGCGACTGTTGGGGCGTGTCTGGCGACACGACAAAGTTGAGATCTGTTTAACTTTATGCAAATGAAGAGCGACTTTCAGGAGCGACAACAATAGGAGTGAAGTCAGTGGAGCGCGTCACTCTTCAGTGCTGAGTCTGACCGAGGCAAGTTGATGGAGAAGCTCATTTTAGCAGTCAGAAACTGTCCTATAATTTATGATATCTCCGTGTACATACGGTGGTATTCACCATACTGACTCCGTGCCTGAATGGTTTCGGGAACACTGATAGACCCGTATTTGCCCGTTTGCTGCAGTTAAATAGCCGCGATGGCAAAGAGCACTCACTGTTTCTCGTTCATCTTTAATATTATGCATTTTATGTACTGATTCCATTTATATTTAGACTTTTCCTTCCAAAATGTTTGTTTGTAGCGGCAAGAAAACGTGTTTGTTGTCTAACAGAGTAACATCCGTGAATGTCACTCACAAACATTACTAGGCAGCAGTAGTGGGAACGTCTTCCAGCGACCTGCAGCGACTCGCTTGTAGTGTGAACGGGGCTGGCGTGCGCACGCCCCCCACGCACTTAAATTGAGTTTAAAGTCCCTGTAAAGTCAAAATTAAGTATGTGTTTTGAGTTTGTCACACCACAGAAAAATGTGTTATTAGTCACCCAGCCAAATTTGAATGATAAAAAAAGCCAGCAAGTACATAAAATAAGCTATCAAAATCTTGAAAAAATGAGCAGTAATCTCTGCTCTCAAACGCTGGGGGCGTGTCCACTGGCTGCGCTGAAACCACGCCCACTCGCGGGAAAGCTGCCGTCGACGACTCGCCTCACTCAAATCTACAGCCGGAATGGATGTTCGCACGGTGGGCACGCACTGCCGAATGGCACCAGTTGTCGGCGCGACGGGAGCATAAAGGCTGAGGCGGGAGTCGGTTCGGCCCCATTCACCAGTAACAGCGGATTATCAGTGAATCCCAGACAGTTATCTCCGACGAAAGTTTATAAAACTATCCAGTGTAAAATGATCACTTACAGAGGCGGGTTTTGGCGGTGATCCTCAGCTCTCCATCAAAGGTGGCTCTTCACAAAATTAATCCACTTCTTCTTGATGTAATCGTTTTTCGGAAATTTAAACAAGGACACCGATCTGTTTTGTACGTGATCCGGTGATCGCATCCAGGTAGTACGCATTTCCGTGACGAAGGCATAGCTAGTAGCTAGCAATCTGTAGGCTGTGTAACTAATAATAGTACTGACAGTAACTCGCGATTGAGCGGCAAACTGATGTGAATGTGCTCTATAATATTGTTCATCATCGAGCCCCGTTTTAGCCCCGCCCAGAAAATCCGGAAAATAGCAATTGTGAAAAACTGTTTAACGGTCTAACTCCACAATTCAGTACTTCACAGTTCACAGTCTTTGTAATATGTTCTAGCAATACATTTCTAACATTTATAATGTGTTTAGATTTTTTTTTTGAAATTGCCTTTACAGGGACTTTAAACATGAAGAGGACGTATCCGTGGATGGCAAGCCAAAGTATTCATAAACGCCTGGTCAGGCGTCTGAATGCACACTGACACGTCAAAACAAAGCGTGCGTTTCGACAGGCCGCGCGATTTACCATAAAAGCGCTCTGCTCACGGAAAACTGATTTAGCATTTTAGCACTTCCGGTTCACTCGCTCTAAAGTCTATGGGATTTTTGAATGGGTTTTTGCTAAATCGCCTGAAATAAGGTCTGTGGTGAACAAAGCCTCTAAATATTTTCACGTTTTGGATCTATGACATAGAACACACAGTTATAACCTGCTTGTGGTTTTTTAAACTTTATTGTGTCTGCTTGTGTTTTTTAAAAACTTTATATAGGCTTCAAAATGTATAAATTTTGGATTAACTTGTAAAGATTACCTTGATAGACAAAACGTGTAAGGGTTCTGTGCCGTTTTTGACGCACATTTATCGTAACAAAAATGGGTGTCGAAAACGTGTGTTTTGAGTAGGACAAAACACACGTTATGAACGTGTAAACAGATAAACCAAACAGGCAGTGCAAATGTGTGTGATGTGTCCAAACGGGCAAAAAGTACGTGCTCGTTCCCTATAGTGAAATCGCACGTCGAAAGCGTGCTCACTTTTTTTTATCGAGTCTGTCGTGCTTTTGTCCCTATATGTGGTTTAGGACTTTTGTATTATCATTAAACCCAAGCAAAACAGCCTGGAATTATTGATGGCAAATTTGACAGAGGATAGGATTATAATTGGTGAGTTATTAATGTCCAGCAGTTTCATGTTTTCATATGCAAAACTCTCGGTTTCACGTTCACAGTTGTTTATTTCAGCACCTCGAACAGCCTCTAATCCCTTCATTCCAGACGCATCTCGCAAATGTTCCAGTTGTAATTTCTGTAACACTTTACAATAAGGTTTCATACATTATTTAACTATATAAATTCAGATGAACTAAAAATGAACTGCACTTCTACATCATTTATTGATATTTGCTAATGTTAATTTCAACGTTTACTTGTAATTATTAAAATCAAGTTGTATGTGTTAACATTACTTAATGCACTGCGAACTAACAGGGTACTTATAAAGGGTACACTTCTCAGATTATTAAGTAAAACAAATCTGTAAAAGTAACGTTTAAAAAAGTTATTTTAAGAAGTTTAAGTTTATGAAAATTTTAATATATAAAAATATATTGTTGTATTTTAAATATATTTACAAAACATTTTCAACTCTAAAACTTCAAGAAAATCAATGCTAAATAACTGGACAAGTTCTGGGCCAGATTTGTTGATGACTCAATAAATGAGCTTTAGTAAATATTTTTTTGCGCCCAGTACCAAAGTTTTCCATTAGATGACATCCAGACTCCACCGATGACTCTTCGATTTCCATATATGTTTTTAGTGATCTGAACCTTGTATTTTCCATACTATTCCAAGAATTTTCTAAAGTACACATCCTATTCATATAAAAATGTACGGAAAGAATCAAAGCGCGTGTTATAGTTTGCCTCCAGATCACAAACGAAGAATCTATTGGTATTTATCTATTGCTGTCATTTCGGCGTACCCTGACGTGCACCTCTCCAAAAATGTAACAACGCGTCAATTCTAAGCGTACCACAAGCGCTGTGATTGGTCCGCTAGAACCGCTCCCCGGGTTTCACATGCTCCCTCTGCATGCGTAATTGCGCGTGAAGGCGGACAACGACGCAGAAGTATAAATGAAAACCAACGCGTAGTCTATAGCGTAGAGGCACCGGCGTAGGTCCAACGTAGACGTATAAAGAAAGAGAAGTGACATTGGGGATGGGACAAACCCACCCAAATTAGCTTCGGTTAAACATGCATATAATAATTTGGGTATATGTCTAAGCTTTATGCCTATTTTTCCCATCGTCATGGACAATGATTTCTTCTCTCCTATTTAGATAGGTGGGCAAATGCATTTTTGTCTCAGTGCATGCATTGTATTAGTCTGGCAGAGCCACCGCTAGCTTAGCTTAGCATAATGAATGGAATCCAATAAGTCATAGGCCGACATATAACGCAAATAATGCGAAACGCGAGTGTGCCCAAAATGTCAACAATATTAAAGTTTATGCAGGAGGCAAATGCCATTACAGCAGTTGTCCAAATAATCACATTTCAGCTCCTCAAATTACCGTTGCAAATCTCTTTACACCACTTTCTTATGTGCTTAAAACACAAACAAATGGAAATGTCCGCAAGCACATTATATCATCAACAGGTTCAGCATCTTAAACAACGACTAAAGAGCAAATAAAGCTTAACTTACCTTTCAGAAGCGCGCAAATAGCCTCTGTTGGCTACAACGAACGTACTCGGTTACTAACGTAACCTCGGTTCTCTCTAGAGAGGGAACGAGTA